TTCTAAAATGCTTATGTTACATTTTTCTGTTTATATAAGCATTGAAAGTGGATTTCTTACTGAAATAGAAATAATTTTGCTATTGAATTAACATGGAGAACTTTTTTATTGAATATTTTTTTCTGTGACATTAGTTGCATCTACTACAAAATAAAGATTAAAGAACTGTTTTTTTAAAAACATTTTGAATTTGTTGTCATATTGATCTATGAAGCACTAGATTAGTGAGTTTTTTTATTACATTATTGACAAATATAGTTTTTAAACAATCAAAAAATTTTCAGCGTAGATAATTATTTGTCAAATATGAATGTGTTTTCAAAGAGGAAATAAATAATAAGTGATAAAAAGAAAATTCAGTTAGAACGTTCACATCTCTAACAAAGTAATTTGCTTTGATTTAATCTTTATAATACAATTTATTTTAAAATGATAAGGCAAAATCCAATGTGAAAGGTTATGCGAAGATTACGATGTACCTAGAGTATTCAGCATTTCGTATGATCCTATAACCAGATAATAATAATATTAAAATAAATTTGGAATACTTAATACTGTTTACAAGCAATCAATCAATCAAATTATTGCTGGGATAACGCGCGAAGCGCGCTGTTTCCAGCTCATGAAGAGTTGCGTATAAGCACATGACTTTAAAAAATTCTGAAGTTGTAGCTGGACTACTGAAGTGATAAAAAAGAAGGCCTAAAGCATGGAAGGCGTAGAGGGAGGTGTCAGTCATGAGAAGTAGACGTGTCTACTAACCAGAGCAGGAACGCAGAGTCCGGAGGGCGGTGCTATCCCCTGAAGCCCGAGCAAAATCGAAATTAAGCAAAGTTAACATCAAATTCATCATGCAAAAGAATAAGAGAAAATTTACAAGTCTATTTTTATCATCTGTTCAACCATTCCCAGGGCAAGTAATACTTTGTCCTGCGGCGAGTCAATTTTCTTACATTTTTCAACAAATTCTAGGAATTTGATTGCAATCTTCTGAAGGTTTTTATCCATTGCAAAATCCACTTTAGCTGGAGTACTAGCATCTGAGTGGGAGTCTGATGGCATACTATTTTCTTTCTGTAATGGTATTTCAATCAACGGAGACATATTCATAGACTGCGACTTCCGCGCTGAAATCCTTTTCATCCTGTCAGAGACAACACGAATTTTTGATTTAAATTCGCATAACTTCGAAGTAGCAATATGATCCTTTTTTACAGTTCGCGCAAGTAGGTTTCAGTTCTTTGGCTAATTTGCATGTGTAGGTCAGGTGTCCCTGCCCACACTTGAGACATCTTGGCGAATTGTTACAAAACATCTGACCGTGACCATATCGTTGACATCTGAACAAGGAGGTTAGAATATTCTAACCTCCTTGTTCAGATGTCAACTATTCTAACCTCCTTGCATCTGAAGCAAATCATGTTGCTTAGATTGCATCTGTATCTTCTAAACTTGACTCTAAGGTCCACCAAGAGTTTTCTTTCTGTAGATGTTTCTACTCACTTCGTTCCTTTTGAATGATGCAAAGAAAACTGGTAACTTTATTTCTTTACCATCAATTTTCTTGGTAAACTGCGTTACGTTTAATACAGGGAATCCATCTTTAATCAACTCAGCCTTGATTTCTTCCACAGACGAGTCGTCAGGCAATCCACGAATAACCGCTTTCAGCGGTGTATCTTTCTTAGGGCGAAAGGTGCTAAATTGCACTTCATTTTTCATTAGCACAGCTAGTGCTCTATCTCTTTGATCGGCTGTAGTAAAAATCAGATTGATTTTATCGTTAGTCAAAACACCAACGTAATCCTTGACATCAAATTTGTTAAATTGTCCTCTTAATTCGCTCCATTTCACATCCGGTCTTGGGCAGAAAATCGGTGGAAGTCGTTCACTTTTATGATCAGTCTTAGCGTTAGAAACAAACATAAGATCTTTATCAGCTTTCTAGGAATTATCAGCACAGTCCATAGCCACTGGATCAGGAATTGTAGCGAGAGCTTCATAACAATTCGACGTTACTACTTTGGAAATCTCAGTAGCAGCGGAAGTCTTCTTCGTTGGGGTTTTCAACGGTTCCTTAACAGGAGCAGCGAAAATCTTAGCGGTCTTCGTAGGCGTTTGCCATTCATCATCTGTAGTTTTATCTGATATGAGAAACTGCTTTCTCTTTCTTTCAGCTTGCCTTCGGTGAAATTCAATCACAATCGGATGCTTTTTGGGAAATTCTTTAATGAAATCTTTATCACAGAATTGATCTAATGAAAGGCTTTCCTTCTCCATAAGGGCAGAGAAAATCTTCTCCGCTTTCCTTAGCGCTGATACTCCGTGGCGCTGCCTTAGCAGGCCTGTCGTTTCGTAATTGTTCTTGCAGAACATCCACTTTGTTAAGAGCTTCGTATATCTCTTTATTTGCAGGATCATCCAAAGCATGACCAAAATTCTTTAATACAGCATACGACTGGTCCACAAGGACCGAGCGATGTTCGTTAGGCATAGCGATAATGCACGAGGCAAGGGACGTACTTCGAAAAATTCATGTGGTTAAAACCAGAGAAGCGTCGGAGATAGACAACCTTCACGTATGAAAGCCACACCTCGGATGAAAAAGTTGTTTAAAAGCGCAAGCCAAAGTTCTGTTTATATTACTTCTCGCCCTTCAGCGCATGCTCAAGAATAACCATCGAGGCGAAACTAGTCGATTTGTCCATGACGTCAAAAATTCGAAAAGTGGGGTAGGGTTTGGAAATACGCGATCCGGCGTATTATTTTTTGCAGACTGTAAGAGCAATTTTATAAAAGTAAGCTTGAACTTTCGATTATGTCAAATAGAATTTCCGATGCTGGAGCTCCCAAAGGATCTAGAAAACGAAAGTATGTTTCGATGTCCATCAAACAAAAAACGAATTGCTACAAAAAATGGATAAAGGCATATCCTTTGTTTATCTAACCATTCCGAAATCTGTTTATAAATTTCACGCTGCTCTGCTCGGGGGGGGGGACGCCGCGGCACGCAATGAACTGGAAGTTGATCTGTCAGCACTATCGTTATCTTCAGGGCAGATGTTTTTATTTTATTCGGCTTATAATTCCTTACTAAATGTAGTATTTAATCTCGATGTACTCCGTCTTTGATATGATTTAAATCAAATTCCTCGTCATTATAAATGTCACGAATACAAATCAAATAGTTTTCTGGTTGCAATTTTCTAATTTCGGCTATGCGTAAGGTAAGCTTTCGCATGCGCGCGTTGAAAGAAATGTTTCATAAAATAAACAAATAAATATTAAGCTTCTTTTTTTGTAAATTTTGATACCCTTTAGATCATAATTGCTCATTATTTTATAAATTACGGTTTCATATTTTTAATTTTATAATTTCTGCATACCATCTTATCAGATTTAAACTGATGATCTATAATCCGGAAAAATCAATAATCCGGAATCGCCGAAGTCCTGACGAGTCCGGATTAAAGACTTTTGACTGTAGTAACAAAATAGATTAATGAACATAAAAAAGAGGTAACTATTTTCAACAACATTGTGTTCAGCTAAAACTACATCTTAGGCTCCAATTTTAAATCTTACGTACTCCTATACACAGCACAGTTCTATTAATGCAAATGAATGCCATATATGAAAAATCTGCAATCTTCAGTAAATTACGAGACTTTCTTGGATCACCCATAAGATGACAAACTGCAAATTACAGTTCATATGCTAACACCACTTTAAACAGAATTTTTTGTTCTTACCAGAAAATACAGTTAAATAAACTATATGTGAACATAAAATTATTGTGAGATTTATTGCAGAATGATTTTAAACAAATAAAGAAATTCAGCCCAATTTTACTGCAGTTTTCTGTTGTTGCTGAAAGTTCCATTGCTACTAATTAGCAATAACAACAGTTACTTCATATAGGTGGAATACGTTGTGACAAAATTTTGTTTTACATGGCAGTACATTAAACAGTTTCACAGCAGCTCTGAACATGTTTATATGAATATGTCTTAATTTCTAAATCGGTAAATGTAAAAGTTTGAAGTGTAATATGAGGTTTTCCTCAATTTATATTTTTACGTTAACTATATAATCAGTTCCTACGTTTTCTCTTTGTAATGGATATCCATGAAAATTAATAATGTTACATAATGAAATTGCATTAAGTGTATTTTATTGTTATCTTTCATAAGGGTTCTATGAGTAGCACTACAATTTTGAAGTTAAATCGGCATCTTGTGTGGTCATTTTTAACACTTTAACATTTTAACATTTTTAACTGAAATAAACAGGCTATCTAATTTGATACCATGATGTAATTTTTCTGGCAAAGACCTTGAAAAACTAATTTTATACATTCATTCGAAATAAAAATCCCTAGTTACAATCCCATGTTTTAATTTATTATAACACCAAGTTTTTCTCCAAAAATTTTTAAGGCAAAACATATTTATTCCGTTTTTATCTGATTATATTTCTGATTTTGGCCATTCACGCTATTAATATTATATCTTATTACATCTTTTTTTATTTATAGTAATTCAATATCTTTCACTTATGATGCATGAATGTTCCAGGTACAAAGGTGCATTTTGTCTTTCGAATGTTTTTCTTTTCTCAATAGCAATATTCGAAATATGATTTGGTTTAGAATCGGCAGATTTTTGGACGACAAAGAGTCACTCATAATCATTAAAAGTTAAACATGCTAATTAAAAGTTCCACTTTCAGTCGAATGACCTCCTAACTAAAATCGACCAGCACAATGCCAAATTGGCGAAAAACGTCGCCAGTTTGGAGTAATTCCAGTCAACGACTTCATATAACAGTATATTATCTCGTTGATTCCAGTAGCAGTGGCAGACGTCGGTCATAGACAGTACCTCCTATATATAGGAGGTACTGTCATAGAAGCGGCGGATCATACTGCGCATGCTCGCTGCATCATGACCTGCTGGCCGTAGACGCTTGTAGAAAATCTCGTAGCTCTTCCTATTTTTCCCTCTCTCTCGTGAAGATTCCCTGCGAATAGCGAGTCCCTTTGCAAACGAATGGGAAGGTTATTTATTTTGTATTAAGATTTATGTTGAGTAATGGCTTTGATTAATTTTATTAAGTAAATTAAATATGCTGTTGTTGTTTCCTGCTTGTTGTCGAAATTCAGTGATGACGAATTTTAGTTCTTTTGTGTGCCGTCAATTTGTCATCGGGAATAGATGGATTTCAATATTTTCTCAATCATTTAAAAAAGAATCAAAATTTCAGTCCCAGATGATTTTTTTAAAAATCAATAAATTAAATTTGCATGGCATAACTAGCTGTAGGCAGATGGCAGGACATGCTAAATGGCAAAACATAAAGCATATAAAAGCGGAAAAAGACAAACAAAAACAAATTTTATGCAATAGGTATGCTCGTTTAGTTGCATTAGCTGTTCGAGGTAAGTAAACGCACAGTATGTTTTGGTATATTATTTAATGTTGAACCTTGAAAACTTCCTTTGTTTCTCTTTAGTGAAATAAATACAATAAAAAATAAAGACTTTTGTTTCTTTTGGTGCAAATTAACGTAGCTAAGTGAAGTTGCTTAATCTGTTTATATATATTTATTCAGCAGTGCTGAATTGAAACTTAGAATTTTTCTTTAGTCTCAAATTAAATCTAAAGTTACTGGTTTTTCATAAAATTTCAGTGACTTTGTGTGCAGATGTGGTCAAATAAGCGTATTTCCTCGTGCAGCGAATTTAATATACAAAGTTATTGCATAAATACACTGGTGTGCAAAAATTAAGGACGAGACAGTTTTTTCAATATAACTTTGTACAAAAGCTTTCCAAATCAACAAATTTAATACCGTAAGATCCCCAATACGTAAGGACATGAGTAATGTAAGCAACACTTACTAAAAGAGAAATCAGAGGGATAAAAAGAAGCTTTATTGAAAAAGTAGCATGGAACGCAATGCGACTGAAGGCCGAAACATCCCTGTGATGGGTGTCCAGCAAGAAACATCCGGTCTTTAATAGGGGATATGATCTTCCCTGACTGCTAGGCAGGTTTCACAGTGTTTGCCCATGCTGAGAATGAGGGTGTCAATGAGTTGTTGAGGCATTGCTGCCCATTCGTCTTGCAGCGCCAATCAAAGCTCCGGAATTGTTACTGGTAGTAAGGTATGAGCTGCCAAGCATCTGCCTAGAAAATCCCATACATGCTCGATGGGATTGAGATCTGGAGATCGTGCCGGCCAATCCACACGTTCAATATCCTCATTCTCTAAGAGCTGTTCGGCAGCTACTGTGCGAAGACATGGTGCATTGTCGTCCATGAAAAGGAACTGCGGACCCATAGTGCCTCTAAAAAGACACACATATGGAAGAAGAATCTCGTTACAATAACGGGTCCCGTTGACTGAACCTGGGTCGAAGATGTGGAGGTCTGTACGACTACCAAGCATGATGCCTCCCCAAACGAGAACATCGCCACCTCCATAAATGTCCCTTTCAATGATGTTCGAGGGATGATTGCGGCTTCCCCGTTCTCTCCAGATGAGTATGCGATGAGAATCGCTACTCAGACTGAATCTGCTCTCATCTGTAAAGAGTACTCGTCCCCATTCATTGTCTCTCCAATTCCGGTGTTCCCGGCACCACAGAGAACGTCTTCTCCGATGGGCAGGCGTTAGAGGTACAGGGTGTCGTGCAAACAGACCAGCACCGTGCAGTCTTCTGGCCACGGTAAAACGCGATATCGGTCATCCAGTCGCCTGTGTCATGTGTCTAGCGATTTCTCCCACTGTCTGCCGCCTGTTTCTTTTGGCCTGTAAAGCAATATACTGGTCATCTGCGGGTGTGGTTCCTCGTGGACGACCACTACTAAAACCCCGGATAGCTGTTCCTGTAGTTTGAAATTGTCTCCAAAGTAGTGAAACAATGCTGTGAGCAATTCCGAACTCTGCAGCCACACTTGTCACACTGCGGCCTTCCTACAACTTCCCAAAGATTCGACCTCGGGTAAAAGCATCCAGATGTCGTCTAACAGATTGATTATTCGCCATTTCTCGCTGAGGCAGCAACTCGGTGTGATTTTAACTGCTATACGGTGTGCAATTTCTTTGCCAGAAATACTGATCTTACACCGACAACATGCTTTATACTACTCAGACACTCCCCCATTACGTCTACCTGCATATCTGCGTATGTGCTACTGTACATCACCTTACTTAATCTCCTGATTGGTCTTTCTGTCTGCTCTGCCTCTTCGTTCAGCTGATATGCTAATTTCGACTTCGTCCTTAATTTTTGCACACCAGTGTATTTAAAGAAATAAAATTGGATAAAAAAATTAAAGATTCCTTCGCTTCAGCAGCATTTAAATATTTTAGAACTCCGATATTTGACAATGGGGTCAGCAAGAGGAGTTTCTGTTGGCGATCAGGGGTAACCAGCAGAATTGCTACTTTTTAAATGGAATATTATTATATAGTGTTCTGACCTTTTAGGCCATTCCAGTAATAGTCTCCAATTGTAATGACAGTTACTGTACCAAGAGTTATATCTGAAGTTATTTTGTCTTATTTTTATTGCTGAACATGTTTTCTAATAATTTTTAATCTTTCTTTTATATTTTTGTACATCTGTTTCCTATATAGATTGCAAGTGTTGAATGCTATTAATGTTTGGGAATTGTTTTTAACCGCTCGTCTAATCTGGAAAAGTCACATTTTTTACATTATATGCTATGTACTCTGATTTTTGTTAGCTGTGTAAATTATTGTTCAAGCTTGCACAGTAGCTCTCAACGTTTGACCCATACACCCCTTTCATCATTGCTAGATGACTATCGGCCTTCTCTTTTCTAGAACTAAAAAAAATACATGTACATTTATTTAAATTAAAATTATTTTTTAATATATTTTCTTAAATTAAACAAGAAAAGGTATAGAAAAGTTTGATAATATAAATTTGATTGATAAATACTAAAACTTGAATAAAAGTGGTTTTTTTTTTACTTCCCGAAGTAAAGGAAGTATTGTAATCGTAAAAAATTTTCGATATCATATTTATCCTGCTCTCGAACCCATTTGAGTGAAATTTTTTTTGTGACTTCTGCACATATAAATAGAATAAAGGACTATTTTTCTCAAAATTGATTGTAGAAGGGATTTAAAATGGATTGAGAAAGAGTTTTGTTTCCTATACATCTGTATGTGCATCTGTATATATCTCGCATAACTCAAAAATGAGTAGCTGTAGACCATTGAAATTTTGTGTGTAGGAATACTGTAACATCTAGTTGTGTATCTTCCTTTTTTTGTTGTAATCGGCCATACCAAATGTATATATAAGATAAAGATCTGTATCTGTTATATCAGATGTTTCAAAACAAAAATAAATACAGTCAAAAGTCGTTAATTCGGACACCCATAATTCGGAATGATCTATAATCTGGACCTCAAAGCTAAAAACTTTCTGCGCATGCGCCGCGTTGACACATGCGCATAGGCGTTTACGCGTGCGCATAAGACCTTTTACGACTGCGCATATGAGTTTGCGCAAGCGCAGAATACGTTTTCGCGTGCGCGTTTTATGTATAACGGACAGTATAAGCTAAAATTATCTAATTATCTATTTCAGTTAATGTTGATTGCATTGTTCCTAATTTTCGAATTGGATCCAGCTTGTTACTTTTTGCAGACTGTAAGAGCAATACTATAAAAGTAAACTTGAACTGTCGATTATGTCAAATAGAATTTCCAATTCTGGAGCTCCCAAAGGATCATACAAAACGAAAGTATGTTTCGATGTTCATCAAACAAAAAGTGGAATTGCTGCAAAAAATGGATAAAGACATGAAGAATGTGACAGAGAGGTTAGTGTGAAACGAAAAAATTTCGATTGACAAGTTAGTCGGTATTCTCCAAGCACAGCCAATTCCAATGGGACTTGAAAGCGGAACTTTGTAACTGAAACAAGAAATTCATGTCTGTTTATAGAATTAAAAAGAAAGTATTATCACAATAAAACAAAGCAACTTAAACAACTTACATTGAAAGAAATGTTTAATAAAGGTAAACAAATAAATATTAAGCTTTTTTTTTTTCGTAAATTTTGATACCCTTTAGATCATAAATGTTTCATTATTTCATAAATCCCGGTTTCATATTTTTAATTTTAGAATTTTCTGCATGCCATCTTACGAGATTTAAACTGATGATCTATAATCCGGAAAAATCAATAATCCGGAATTGCCAAAGTCCCGACGAGTCCGGATTAACGACTTTTGAATGTAAGAATTATACCTAATTTTTGTATTTCAATATTAAAAATGGCATTCATCTTAAGATTTTAAGTTTATATTCTATTGAACTGCAGGAATTGTATCAGATTGCTTGTTGCATATTATATTGGAAAACAGTTTGCATTAAAAAATTTCAGCGTTATCAGCAGATAATACTAGTATGAATTTTGGTGGACTTAGTGGAAGCGGTGTCGGTCAATCTTTGGATTATGGTAACTTGTCGATTTTTGGGCGAAAATTTGTCGACCAACCCTGCTACAGCAACATGCTAGTTTTTGTTTGGACGCCATTTTGTATTCACGAAGTAAAAGCATTTTTTTAACTAAACATTTTTTTCCAACAATCTGTTAGCCGAATTATACTTATGCTAGAACGGTTGATCTTTACATTATGGTAACTTGGCGTTTTTTTGGCGAAAATTTGGCGACCAACTCTCCTACAGCAACCCTCTATTTTTTTTTTTTCCCGCCGCCATTTTGTCTTCACGAAGTAAAGATATGTTTCTTTTGTTTTTATGTACTGAACACTTCTTCCAACAGTCTACTAGCCGAATTACACTTATGCTAGAAATTTTATCTTACAAAACTGCTTAATCATGACAAATATTCACTGCAAAATTGGGAAAAAGTGCACAATACCATAATCCTTACGCATTTTTCAAAAATAACACATACACATAAACCATGTACACGTCGACTTATTTTTACTTAAAAAAACATCCCAGAATTACACAAAAATGGCATTGCGCACACTCTTCACTATATCCATGTACACTGCTTTTTTCTCATATATTAGAAAAATTTCACGAAAATACATGACAATATTCTGAATCTTTAAAACCCGGTAAAAAAGAACATATATGAAATTATCTGATCGTGAAAAAGTATATACCCTTTCCAAATATCAAAATTTCCACGTATAAAATAAATAAAATATCCAAAAACTTTTACCTCTAAATCATCTATTATATTATAAACGTCACCAACGAATTCATACCGTAAGCATTACAAATACTTAGTGTCAAATATTTAAATTATTTCCATGCACGTTTACTTCAACTAAAACGTATACCAAATTCCTACAAACATAAAATTCATTCACAAAATAACTATCATTTAATTAAAATATCACTAAACCATGTACA